TGATTATAGGAGACTGACCAATCAGCACACAGCAAGAACTCAGTGCTCAAGTGAAATCCAGGTCCGTTTAATTGAAATGGTAATTTACAATTCCTGTCCTAGCTCAGAGTGTCCTCCCTGACATGGATTATCTGGTCACCCTAGTCTAGAGCATCACAACGAATATTAATAACATCTAAGATAAACCACATTATTTAAGGGTAGTAAAAAAAATTGTACATTGTAGACGTGTGATGTAATGCTCATTTCGCGCGTGCTGTAGGGCTTGAAAGCAGTTTTTGTCGGGTAGGAAAAAAGGGCAGAATACTGGCCGTGCCGGAATGTTCTATACCGACTCCATACTCTCCTGGGCTGAGTGTGCCAATACCGGGAGAATAAACACCTGGAAGCATGGATGTGTTTGTCATTTAGGAAGCAGGAAACAGATTGTGCTGTCACAGTGTTTGGTCAGAAATGTAACAGTTTAAAAAATGTACAGAATGTTAGTGCATGGTTTGTGTTCTCGACCAATAATAAGCTTTAAGTTAATACTTAGAAAACAATTGGCTAATGGTAGTCAATTTATGTAGCAGCTATCAAATAGGGTGATCGGTGTTGGAAACAGGAAGATGGGGAGGTGCGAAGGGCTTTGTCCTACACATGGGGATGTCCCTGGCAAAACCCTTGCTTTGTTAGAAAACGCCAGAATCGCAACTTAAGTAGAAATTGTACTGCTGGTTAGCGGACGCCCCGTGGATAACAGCACACGTTTCGTAAGATTGCTGAGCCGTCTGTCTGCAGAAGATGTTACTATGGAAAGGGAGTAATTGACCAAAAAGAGTCACGAGAGCGTGTCAAGAATCTACGAAACAGAAGAAGCGAAGCGCTTAAAGTGAGGTGCGAATACAGTCGATGGCGAGATCGGGACTCGTTCGACACGGCACATTATCTAACTGCACTAGCTGCTGAGCTGCTTAACTTTTCTGCTGTTAAATTCCCCCCCGCAGTTTAATCATTCGGTGTTTTAAAATAACCCTCTTTTTAACAGTCATCACCAGCACTAAAAAAATGTAGCCTATTAATGCGTAAAAATAGTATCAATTAAACCTAAAAAGTGGATCACATAGATCTCCGGTGTGTGTAATATGTAACACTTTGCCATCTTGTGATTCCAGGATCAGGCCGTTTCCCAGCGTCTACCGCGTTGCCACCGTCCAGTGGCCGGACCCCCCCACACCCGCACCCGCACCCGCCCCGCGGTTCACGGCCACGTCTCAATGCTATTCTTTGTACTGACATTCTGAGACCCGAGACTCTCGCGCAAAGGATCAGTCTCCGTCCATTGATGATCTTCAAGGTCCTCCGTAGAAAAGGACAAGACAGATTACTTCAGCTATAGTAACGTTTTTCGAGTCTTCCCGGAAAACCATACAAAGAGGTGCGTATTTATGCTCTTTTTTCGATTAAAAATAATCGAATTGTTTATACGTGCATCACGTTGCGTTTTACATTAAGAAAAGGGGGCGCAACTATTTATAAATGTGCGGTCGGTCCCGTGACTCGGGGCTCCCGTTTCAGCCGCTTTTTTAAACGTCAAACTTTATGTGCTTTGCTGGGCTCTCGGTTAGAAACTCTCGCCATCAGTATAATTGTCAGGGACAGCTGTCCGTCGGGGAAAGTTACGAATTACAAACATGAGTAGCGTTTACGGGCGCTATTTACGGCATCCCATCATGTCGACCGAAAGTACTGGCGTTATTACAATTAACTTGCTTTTTGCTTATATTGTTATGTTAATCTCGACACTGAAAATTCAGAATTTGAAGATTTGTATTTCATCTTTTTTTTTTTACTATGGTACAGAATACATTCTTAAACCCGATCGAGTTCGCAATCCACACCATCATTCTTCCTGATTACATTAAAGCGTTTCAATTAGCTTACAGGGAAGCAGTTATTATGTTACCAATTAATTTTAATAGAAAGTAACAATTACCTTTTTAGAAAATTAAGGCTGATTTTGTTGATGGAAGTCTTTTACCTTAATAAACATATTTTAGTAATTCGGGGAAAATGCTTTCTAACTATATAGGCGAATACTTCAAAATTACTGTTAGGGTTAAATTCTTATTCATTTTGTAGACTTTAGCTTTACGTCCAGATGCAGGTAGTTTGAAAATAAGTGTATTTTTAATAGATGTTATTCGCTGCTGTTTAGGCAGGCCTGCCATTATGGTATTGAATCCAACACGTACATTCTTATGCTGCTAATTATGTTATTAACCGAAAGCACATCCATTTATAATAATCGGGTTTACGGAAAAGAATGTTTTACACTTTATTTGCTTTTGAATGTAGAGCACAAGTTTTCATTTTTTAGGTTTGTGAAGCACGATGTGTTCATTTTACTTTCGAAGTCGACGTAATAATACTGTCTTTTCCTGGATGAATTTTGGAGGCAGTAGAGCAAATACGCAAATGTGATATGATGCTGATTCACGGTCTGCTCTGAGAAAAAACCGATCCAATGTGCCGAGCTTATTTTTCAGTCCACATTTTAGAGAGGAAATAAGTAATATGTTAATGCAACAACGGGCATTCTTTTGTGTACTGCATTCGTGGGTTTCTTGATGTCCAACAGTTGGTCCATCACAGAGTGCAACACGAACCTCGTTTTTCGTTACCATCTGTCTTATTTACTCTTCTCTGTATCCTATGTATTTTCTGTAGATACCAAGACTGCCATTTTCTCAAACCCACTTTCTCCTCTCATCTCTCTGTTGGCCTGCAGTCTATTAGAAACACTAAAGATTCCCTCAGAGGGTAATAAGATACTGTATATGAGTACAATGTAAAAGGCAGTCAGCCATGTTTGGCATTAGATTTCTTTCTTGTAGAATTATGTACTTCAACTATTGCTTTCTCTACTTTGACAAGGAAAGTGCGAGATAATAACAGTGTAGAATAGAATTGCCGTGCTGAAAGCAAAGAGGCAACAAACATTATATATTCAGACAATCGAGTACAAAATATGGATAATGGATGATTGAAAAGAGTTGCTGAGATGTTTCTTTATAGACCGTTCATTGATTGCTGCTATTCTCATACCAATTATTAAGAAAACAAAGAGGGCATCTTTTATTGCAAGGTGCTGTTCAATAGAATTATACTCTGTGTTAATAGGGGATGTGTAATTTTTATTTTCCTGCCAATCAAAATTTGTAAGACAATCATCCATCCTATTGATGTTAACGTGCACCCATCAGAAACTCATGAAACTATCACATAATAGTGATTATGTTCACTAGGAATCATACAAACTTGTTAGTGACCTGTTGGTATGATGAGTGAAAATGTTCAATAATAATTTATTGGTGCAGATTCTTACCATTACCGAGTAAACTCCTGAATATTTGGCAAAACTTAGCAAAACACCCTGAGTTGTATGTAATGTTCCAGAATGCGGAATAGATTTTGTTGTATTAATGACACACTTTGGAAATCCAGTAGAACACGATTCCCTTGTCAGGATATCAGGACTCATTCCTTCTCTGTAGTATTTTATGGGGCTTCAGAACATACACAGAGGGATTCTTAACTCTCATGTGGAGGTTATACCGTCGGAAAACTGCGATGGCCTTTGTGGAATATCAGTCGATTAACCACTTTTCTGTGGAAGTGCTCTTGGTCATATTCGTGTAGGAAAGGTCCACCTGTGGTCTAGTTTCTGCCTCCTAAAATGTCCTGGGACTTGGTGGAGCTCATGATGACTTTGAGCTAAACACGCCAATAATATCAAGTTTAAAAAAAAACCAAAAAAAAAAACGTTTGCAGCGCACGGCATTGCACTCTGTGTTAAATAAAATGGTATTAAATCCAAGTAGGTTATACGAAATTATAATCCATTGTATTGTAGGAACACTAGGCTATATTTAAACTATATGAATACTCAGTTTTAATCCCTGTTTTTGTGCAAATGAATTTTGCATGTTTGTTTGTGGGGAAAATTTGTCATTTTAAAAAGAAGGTTGTTAGGTCTATAAAATACAATGATAATATTGTGGTTTAAGCAATGATTTATGACTGACAATTTGGGAGGCGTATAGTATTACGTTGTACCGTATAGTCCGTATAGTGTTACTTTGTACCATTTTTGTCCAAAATGAAAAACCAAAAGACACAAAACAGCTTAAACATTAATATATCCTGGATTCATCATTATTTGCACAGTGGTAATGGCAGTAAGATATTCTTGGGTTTAACCTGAAGCATTATTAACACTGTACCCTGTTTACACACGCAATACACTGTCTTTGTATGTAGCCTCCATATTTGTACTGTCCTGTGTTTTCACGCTTAATGTAGCATGAAAATCCTCCCCTTGACACTTGTGGTATGTATGTTGCACCATGGGGCTGTGCAGATACAAGTCATTTTAGTGTTTAAGCAACTGGGCTTGACTTCCACCCAGGAATGATGAAAACTAAACAAGGAGTTGCAAAAGTCTGCTGTTAAATCGGCCAAACCTTCTTCAGCTTTGGGGTGGCTGCAGGTCATGAATTACTCTGTTAGGTGATATCATCCACCCCCACCCCCACCGCCCGAACCTGGGTGACCTTTTTTGGCCATGGATGCCTGTATATGCTAGCAATTAGCCCCTTGAGCTGGATTGAGGGGAAATTGAATGCACGCAACACATTTAATGGCCTAATGATGCAACCGCACTGAATTGGCTCAAATAGAGAATAGAATTTCTCAAGGCAGAACCAAGAGGCTCCTTCCCTGACCTTCTGCGCTGCGATTGATGCTCATTTTTTCATGCCTTCACTGTCCTGTGTTTTTCGCACTTCATGTAGCATGATAACCTTCCCCCCCCCCGACACTTTGTGATATATATGTTGCACTGTGGCCTTGTGGGGATGGATGCTGTGTGTGTGTGTGTGTGTGTGTGTGTGTGTGTGTGTGTGTGTGTGGTGGGGGTTACAGATTGAGTGACAGGGGCCCTAAAAAAAAATTATACTCTGTTGGGGGCCCAAAATCTTTACCAGCACCCCTGCCTGGGGGATGCTATTTCCTGCCACTGTATCTGTGTGTGGATGGGGCAAGACTAAGGCCCATTTGTCTTGACATGGTTTCTCTCCTTTAGCACTGGCAGGGCGACAGGGCAAACTGAGGTGTGGCGACCTGCCGGCGATGCTGCGCTGCAGGCTGATCCCGTCGGCGGTGGTGACCGTGGTGCTGCTGCAGGGCGTCGCTATGGTGCTGATGTTCGGATGGTACGGGCGCCTCATGCCGTCGGAGTCGACGGCCCCGCGGGGCAAGGTACACGTGCTCCTGCTGTCCTCCTGGCGCTCGGGTTCCTCCTTTCTGGGGCAGGTGTTCAGCCAGCACCCCAACGTCTTCTATCTGATGGAGCCGGGGTGGCACGTGTGGACGACGCTGCGGCAGCCGGGGGCGCGTGCCCTGCGCATGGCGTTGCGCGACCTCATGCGCAGCATTTTCCAGTGTGACCTGTCCGTACTTGAGGCCTACACACCAGACCAGCGCAATGTCTCCCACCTCTTCATGTGGAGCCAGAGCCGTGCCCTCTGCTCGCCGCCCGCCTGCCCCCTCACGCCCCGCCACTCCCTCAGCGATGAGGCTGAGTGCAGGCGCCACTGTAACATACGCGGCCTGCAGAAGGCAGAAGAGGCCTGCCACAGCTACAGCCACGTGGTACTGAAGGAGGTGCGTTTCTTCGAGTTGGAGTCTCTATACCCGCTGTTGCGTGACCCCACCATTGACCTGCGCATCATACACCTGATCCGGGACCCGCGTGCCGTAGCCAGGTCCCGTGGGCAGGCCATCAGGTCTCTGCTGAGGGACAGTGCTCTGGTGCTGGAGAAGGGTGACAAGCCGGTCACCGACTCAGACCTCCACGTCTTGCAGGAGGTGTGCCGCAGCCACGTACGCATCTACGAGACCGCCATGCTGAAACCGCCCGATTTCCTGCGCGGACGTTACAAAATGGTCCGTTACGAGGACATGGTGCGCGACCCGCTGGCGGAGGTCGAGGACCTATACAAATTCGTCGACCTGGAGATGACTCCGCAGCTCCAGGACTGGATCTACAAGGTGACCCACGGCAAGGGCAAGGGCTCGAGGAATGAGGCGTTCAAGATCACGTCGCGCAACGCGGAGGACGTGTCCCAGGCCTGGCGCACCACGCTACCTCACAGCATGGTGCAGCGCATCCAGCAGGTGTGCAAGGGCGCCATGTCACTGCTGGGCTACCAGCTCGTGGACAGTGAGAAGGAGCAGAAGCGCCTTGACCTGGATCTGGTGGCGTCGCGCAAGCGCCACCACTTCAGCTGGCTCCCTTCAAAAACGACTCAGTTGCCCATGTGGTGAGGTTGCTTGCCCCAAGCAGACCTCTGGCACTTTGACTCAGAAGCAAGAATGGTAAAATGCATAATGGATATGCATTCTCTGCATGGCCCCTGTTGAATCACTTACTTGCTGTTTTTCTGCTTACATCATTTGGCAATGTGTCGCCCTCTGGTGGAGACTCATGGATCTACATGTTTGTACCTATGTACACATGTACATACAGTTTACACAATGCACATTGAATATATGCACTGTTACTCATGTGTTTTATAGATTTGTAAAGGATGTAAAAAAAAAAAAAAAAAACTCTCGCAATGCACTCATTTTGTCTGAGTTTTTTTTTTTTTAACCTTTCTGGTAGACGATTAGAAACCTTGGATTTTCGATGATTGGGGCTTAGTTTGTCTGCATCACTCATTAAGTTTTCTACAGGGATGAAGGAATATGTTGATTTAGCTTTTTAAGAATTCTGTTTAATATTTAAATGATAGTTTGATTTGCAGGTACCTGCAGTAAAGGGAGGGGAAAGTGGAAGATCTGGAAATGTCTCATACAAAACATGCAGTGAAAAAGGAGAATATGCAGATGTGCATTTTTACAGAACTGTCTGCATCACACATGATATGAAATTATTGAAAATGTGGCCTGATGTTTTTTTTCTGAAGAGATGAATAAAGAATAAATTAATGCTTTTTATGCAGTATTATTACTTTTCTTGGGGTATCCCGGGAAAGTGACGTTTCTTTGGCATACCATGTGAAAACATTGCATAAAAATTCTACCTTTTCGTTAATTGCAGTAAGCATTATGAAATGTTAGCTTACTGTAGAAATAGAGTGTAGAACAGTATATAGGAAGTATGTAATCAGTCAGTACACTTTTTTTTTTTTTTTTTTGTCAGGTCGGGAATCGATGGCGATTCTCTCCTTCTGTTGTCAAAACCTGACAGGAACAGAAACAAAAACTCCTCAGTGAAAGAACTACATGGGTCACACTTCTACAAACAAACATGAGACACGGTGGTATTAGCACAACACCACACATTCAGTTAACACAGACGGGTAAAATAAAATTCATAACACTAACCCAAAATCGGACCACGGTATAGAACTGGTGTGATGAGACATTATTGGCATGACTGTAGCATTTCATTGTGCGGGGGGAATGAGAAATAACACAATGGACAATTATTAAATCATAAAGGGGGATGCAAACACCTCGCTAGAGTATGAATTAAAAGTGGCGAGGACTTGCGTGAAAAAGGCACAAACGTATTGCAGAAAAGGGCTGAAGCCCATATCCAATACACATAACAAGCAAGTACAGAGAACATCTCTGTCAAGTATGGATGTAAATGAAAAACAATCACTGTAATTATATACAGGATAAACCCGGTAACGTATGGTCATTGGTCTGTATTGATCTTGAATTGGCTTGTCCATCTAAATTTGATCAATACATTATCAGTTGTGGACAGAAGATTGCATAAATGTGTTTTTACACTTGCAAGTAGCTGTCTTCATTGTGTTTATATGCATGTCTGCTCTAAACATGATTTGCTGTTCAGCCTAACAATCATCACTTTTTAGAACTCAAAATGATTATTAATGTTAGGGTATAATACTCTTTCACTTCCCGTTGTGTTTTTTTTTATTATCACAGTGCTACAGTTATCTCAGCGTGTAGCCTAATGTTAAAAATTATTTAATGACAATTTGCAATACATTTTGATTTACACATTTTTAATAATGAGCTTTATTTAGACAGGTTGATTCCTGTATTTATGATCACATTCATTTGTTCTTTGGGAATTTGTAAAAAAAACATCATTTTCTGTTGCATTCAAGCATTTTCCAAAGAACATTCTGAAAGTTTCAGAAAATATAAACAGATTAGCCTGTTCTAAAGGAACATTGTGCATTGCCTTTATGATACGTCTCCACAAACCACAAGAATCTTTGTGTATATTTCTTAGTGGACAATGTGACTTTTTTATATTTACTAGGCAAATATTGGAGTTTTGTAGCTAACATTTATGATCTGCTCAGATCAACAAGCCAAATGTGTTTTGTTCAAATATTCACCATCATCCCACAGGGGTGTGGCTTTGCTGCTGGTCAGAAACAGTGGGTACATTCATCCAAGATTATGAAATGAGTATGACTTTGGTTTGTTCAGGATTTATAGGGTCGTAAACGGTTATAAAGGCCCAGCTGCCACAGTAAAGGATGTTATGTTGTAAAAAATGTGCGTAACATCTGAACCAGACTAACAGAACAACTGTACTTTGGAATTAATTTTCTTATCTATCCACCCATTTTCTGCCACTTAGGGTCACAAGGGCAGCAGTCTAGGCATGGATGTTCAGACCTCCCTCTCTCTCCAGCCACCTCCTCCAGCTCCTCCAAGATGTTCCCAAGTCATCTGAGAGATATAATCTCTCTGGCATGTCCTGCATCTCCTCCTGGTTGGACATGCCCAGGAGGCATCTTGTCCCTGGGCTGCCTCCGCTGCACTCTCACAGGAAAAAAGTACCAATTTGTATCTTGCTTGTCACTGAGGCTGTACCCTCAAGGGTAAATGTACCTTTTCAGATATAGAAATGGACTATGAGACCATTTGGACCATTGATGGAAGATCGATGGAATGGGAAGATCAGGCAGGGGCACACTGAGGAGCACATGCAGACAGCAACATCGATGACTGGACTGGGGATTGCAGGACTGAAGGACTATTTATACGGGCCATAAAAATTTGAGCGGATTGGATTGGTCTGAATTGGGGGCCCAATATGATATGTTTTCATGGGGACCAAAATCTTTAGTGACGCACTTGGTCTGGACCCTTCCTCTGAGTGAGGGATGGTCCAGATACGTGCCCTGAAATGTCAGTGTAATATAATAAACTTGGGGGAAAAAAACGTTAAACGGTTAATGACGGCTAATTAATTGTTAGGTATATACATCATACTAGAGGATGCGTGGAAATTACTTACATCTGTTCCAGACCAGTTACTACCTGACAAGTCTTCGGTAAGCTATACACTATCGTGATAAGCAACGATCCTTACGAAGAACGTACCTTATCATGGAAAAATGTAAATCGCCACATTTGAACTCCAAGTTGCCATATAAAACAATTTCAGCGATTATTTTAAGTGTTCAGCGGTTTTCGTTTACTTGTTGTCAAAATGTTGTTCACTACGCATGTCCGGCAACCTTGTCTCTACAGCTGTGCAAACGCCAAGGACAATGTTTTCTAAAGGTAAACAGTAACCTCAGTGGCCTAGAGAATGAGCCCCGAAACATTTGCTCTACAGAGATGGACCGAATAGTCAGAGAGGAATCATCGGACATGTAGAATAGTTAAAAGCGAATATGCGCTCAGTTTGTGCCCCAACAGCCCCCCCCCCCAGCATCGTGGGATTCCCTTTGTCATCAGCGTTACAAATCAAGATCTGCCTAAATGCATAAATTCCCGTGCATGACTCACTGAATTCAAGGTTATGTATCTGAGTTGTTTCAGATTTCGTGTTCAGTATGTGGGCGTGGATGGTGCGGGCGGATAACAGGGGATGTGCCGCTGGCTGAACGCAGGACACGCAAAACACACACACACACAAACACACGCCGGCTGCTTGTCTCCCCCTTTCACACAGATCCCATCTCGTCTTTCCATGACTTCGTCCTTTCCCCCTTCCATTGCCTCTAGCTGCAGGAGCCTTTGTGTTAAGTTGTTATTCTTGCACCGGCAGACGGCGTCTTTGTCTCGGAGGAAACGTCCCCTGCCTCCGCCCTCCTTCCCACGGCTTCTGATAGGCATTCCTGCGGATCAAAGATCGCATTCGTCCGTCCTTATGGAAAGTGGTATCCGTGACAGGTGCGCCAGTGCGCTGTGAAGAAGGCGAGTGAGCGCCCACCATGGGCCTGCGGCTGCTGCTGCTGCGGGCGGCTTGAAGGATGGAGGAGACGCTGATGCCGCAGCCATGGCCAGATCAGCAAATATCGGCACCGGGGACGGAGACTCCCGGGTGCCGGCCCCGCAAGACCGGCCAGAGGTTCGGGATTTGTCCGATCCGCGGGAACTGTCTCTGGAAGAAGTGCTGAAATCCTACGAGCAGCCGATCAATGAAGAGCAGGCTTGGGCGGTGTGTTACCAATGCTGCAGTCGGCTCAGCAAACCGCTCTCTGCCGCCGGCTTCCGAGGACCAGCGCGGGTCAAGGATCCATCCTCGATCCTTCTGCACCGAGACGGAACCGTGTCCCTGCGAGTGGATCCCAGCCACGGTAAGGGACCGTTTGATCGCTTATGGATTTATGTCAGAAACCTCCCACTTAAAATCTCACAACAACAGTCATTTTTACAAGTGGCGTAATATAAACTTAAACGTCTGTTTACTGTAACCAACTAACAATGTCACATTATAGCCTAAGCAATATATTAATAACAAACATTCATGTGGCTCAAAATACGATAAAATACATTAGGTAACTGGTGAATAGAGAATTGTTTTTATAATGATTATAATTATTGCCCCCAGTATTGGATACCCGTAGGCACACAGTATCGGAACATGCCGGTAAATGATCAATAATTCATGCGGCGCAGTTTCTGGCAGCTGGGCTATGGGGTGACGCGGTAATTGTACTTTTCTGACCCGACGTCTGTGTAATGAAGCAGCGCTTTGGTTCTCCGTGCGGTGTGTGAGAGGGACGCCGTCCTTGGGCTCCGCAGTGTGATGCAGCCCACCGGCGCGACGGACTGCGGACCCGGGGAAAGGCCGGAGGAGTTCACAGGGGGAGCTGATGCGGCTCTGCTTTGGCACCGAGCCTCGGGAAATCTGGCATCCAGCCTTTTCTTTATGGACCTGACGTCTGGCCGAAGCAGGCCTATGTCACACTTTTGAAACACTTTAAACTGAACTTCTACCCTCATTCCTATTATAATTATGAATAACTAGGCTATTAGTAACATAATTTTGGGAAAATGTATTTCAGCTTTTAATTCATTCTTATTATTGTACAAAACCACAATTATTTATTCCAAAGTGGCATAATGTTCATTTAAAAAATGTTTTTAACAAAATATTAAGGCAGGTATTTACAGCAACACTCATGCCATTATTTAGGCTTAAGGAAAGCAGATAATTATGCATTTTATAATGTTTTAGAAATATTTAATATAGTAGCAATAATAATATAATGAGAAGGTTGTAAATTTTGAAAGAGTAATGGACCAATAGGCCTACTTGTAAGACACGTAGCTCCTTGTGTCACAAACACAAAGCACCTTCGCTTCATGCACAGTGTATCTGGTTTCAGAAGCATCATGGGTTATTTTGCTGTTCAGGCCGTTGGCGCGGAGTGAGCTGGCCCTCCGTTTCTGCCGAGTCTGTCTCTGATGTCACGCGCATGAGAGACCACTGTGATGGGATGACCTTGCTGTCCACGCACCGCTTTTAGCTATGAGAAGAACTGAGCCAAGCAAGTTCACCACTAAAGCACCAATGTACAGCATACACACTCACTCACACACACACATACAGCTTAGGTATCAATATTTTTCATTTCTATGGACGTAACTCTAATCCGAAGTACGACAAACCTAACCTTAAAAAAAAAATGTTACCCACAATGTCAAAATAACAGGTTATTATCACATTTTGGGGACCAAATGTCCTCGCAATGTAATATATACATGACCCACACACACACAAACACACACACAAAAATCACATCTGCTTTAGTCATAACACAGCATGCTTTATATAACCCTACACACACACACACACACACACACACACACACAAACATCACCATTCATTCACACTAGCAGGCTATGCAGACTTTTTTATTTTTTTTTTTAAACAAAAAATTATGTTGTGTGCCATTCTTTAAAAGTATTTTTATTGGTGTGTGTTAAGGTCTGTGCAGAATTTAGGACTTTGAAGTCAGTGAAAGTCCACTTTACAATCAGAGTTGGAGATTGCAGGTCCACAGAGTACAAATCCAGGCCAAGATTTTGTTTCAACCAACCAGAACTCTGTGACTGTGACTCTTTATACTCTTTATTCTCAACATGCAACCTTTAACGTGACAGGAGTTTTTATTGCTGAAGAGAGGGAGAAATTTTCAGGGGGAAAAAGGCTTAAAGAAAGTACCTGTAAATGGCACAGCACTGAATGAGAAATGCATGTCTGTCACAAGACCTACAAATGACCTGCATATGGCCTCCACACGGCCGGCACATGCCTTATTTGTAATTTTAGAGGCTCATCAATCAACCAATCAATTAAACAATCAATCAATCAACCAATCAGACTATACTTAGATAGCATTTTTCATACAAACAAAATGTTATAGAAAGTGCTTTACATAAAAACAATATCCCCCCCCCACCCCTGCTGCCACCCCCACCCATATACCAAGCAATAAACTGGACTAATATATATAAACAAATAGACAAATATCCATAAAATAAAGCATCTTTCCTGCAAAAAAAGAGAGAAAATTGCCTTACATGCACAATTTGTCTCAAATTCAGTTTGCGGAAAACCAGTTCAGCAAAAAAGGAAGGTGATTTGTTTTAAAGGACAACATCTCCTTTGTTGTGGCACATTGTGGTTTGGTGGTAGCTTTAAACATTAATCTTTGACCACAGGCTGCAGCTTACCTTCTGTGTATGTAGGTATATGTAGGTATGAGAATGGCTCAGCGTGAAGTAAATCCTTCTGTAGACCTTTACGATCGACTGGGAATTATACGCTAAGCTTGTTTATACATTCTCCAAAATCAATATGTACATTTTTTCTTTTCTGTAAACTTTAAAAAAGAACAGTCAGATCAGCTGATTCTCATTCTTGGCGTTAGTGAAGAATATTTTTGGGAGCTCTCCAACTGCTGCATCCAGTTGACGATGCGTCATCCTGCTAATGTTTATAAACATATAAGAGTATCTCTGCATGGTTTCTGATCCCGGCTTTTGGCTTCTGCCTGCATCGTGTTCGTCTGCCACTTCCAAATGATAGGAGGTTGGTTTTTTTTAGAAGAAACATTTTTTGTCTCTTTTATGTTGAGTTGAACAAAGGCACGAACACTATGGTGAAAGAGTATTAATCAGTGCTCTTTCTTTCGTAGTTGGTATTTCCCCATTTGTGGTTCATCTCCTGGAGCTTCTGCTTTTGTGGCCTCAGCAACAAAGACGAAAAGCGCTGTAATATAAACCCAAGCCTTTCAGCACTCAGATACTAATCTCTGATCGGTGCAGTTTTATGTAAACTGATATTGGCCCAGAAATGCAGTAATGTAGCTCCTGAATTCACAAAAAATACAGCTGTCAGCACAGTAGGTGTCACGCCCACAGGGGCGGGGCAACACAGTTGCTAGCAAGTGTCACAATTCCAACACGCTAGTTAAATCTAAATCATACCACAGAGTGTTGCGAAGTATTGTTGCCATGCGAATGACATCTACTGAGCGTTTCTTTGTCTCGTGTCTTCCCCACCTGCCTTGCCTGCCTCGTCATACCCTGCTGTCTTGCCTGCCCTGCTTCCCTGGTCGCCCCTACCTCCCTGCCTGGTCCTGCCTGCCCCGTTTGCCTGTCCTGCCCTGCCGTCCCGGTCTGCCTTCGTTCTCTCTCCCATCCCATCGTCTCAACATCCCGTCTCTGCCTGTAGGACTGACCTTCCGCGCTCGACCCGACTACCCACTTGGATTTCCCCTTTTGGCTCTTGGTGCACTTGGCTTACTACTCAATGAACCCTTCTCCCGCATTACGGGGTCTGCCTCCTCTCTAGTGTCCGAACGTCATAGTATGTCCTGATGGGGTATTGATTTGACTTTAATCCGAAACAAAACTGGAGTTAGAACATAAGAACATAAGAACTATACAAACGAGAGGAGGCCATTCGGCCCATCGAGCTCGCTTGGGGAGAACTTAACTAATAGCTCAGAGTTGTTAAAATCTTATCTAGCTCTGATTTAAAGTAACCCAAGGATTCAGCTTGCACTACATTATCAGGAAGACTATTCCATACTCTGACTACACGCTGTGTAAAGAAGTGCTTCCTTAAATCCAGTTTGAAATGTTCTCCCGCTAATTTCCACCTATGGCCACGAGTTCTTGTATTTGAACTAATGCTAAAGTAACTATTCGGTTGAACAGCATCCAAACCTGTTAGAATCTTATAGACCTGGATCATGTCCCCCCTCAGTCTCCTTTGCTTGATGCTGAACAGATTTAGCTCAACTAACCTTTCCTCGTATGACATTCCTCTGAGACCAGGAATCATTCTTGTGGCCCTACGCTGCACCTTTTCTAAGGCCGCAATGTCCTTTTTAAGATATGGTGACCAAACCTGCACACAATATTCTAGGTGAGGTCTCACCAAGGAATTGTATAATCTTAGCATTACCTCCCTTGACTTAAACTCCACACACCTGGAGATATACCCCAACATCCTATTGGCCTTTTTTATTGCTTCCCCGCACTGGCGAGAATGAGACATGGAAGCATCAACATACACACCAAGGTCTTTCTCATAATCAGCTACCTTTATTTCAGTAGGTCCCATAAAATACCTGTACTTTATATTTCTGCTCCCTACATGGAGTACCTTACATTTGTCTATGTTAAATTTCATCTGCCAGGTATCGGCCCAGTCACTAATTAAATCAAGATCCCGCTGTAGCTGCTGAGCCGCTAGTTCAGTATCTGCTACACCACCCACCTTGGTGTCATCTGCAAATTTCACCAGTTTACTGTATATATTGGTGTCTATATCATTTATGTAAATTAGGAACAATAGTGGTCCTAAAATTGACCCCTGCGGTACCCCACTATGAAAGCAGGCCCACTGTGACATTGGGCCTCTTATAACTACTCGCTGCTTCCTAAGAGTAAAAGGCAGGAGTGAAAGGTGTTTCTGTGTCTCTCCTGATGTTTACTTCTCCTTAGCCTTTATAGAGTTGTGTAAGAGACTGTTTGCTGATTATTTTTCCACTCTTGGGCGGTGCGGTGGCACAGTGGTTAGCACTGCTGCCTCACGCCTCCGGGAAAAGGACGGTATTCCACAAAGCAGAATTTCCCAGTTAGCTGTATAACTTAAGCCAAACATGAAAACTGTCCAAAAGGAGGAGTGGTAAGTGACATTCCTATTGGACAATCCTTACCTACAGCTTCAGTTATCTGGCTAATGAAAAAAATCTTGTTTTGTGGAATAACCCAAAGGGTTCAAGCCACCACCCTGGCTCCAGAGGTTTGGACTCTGCGTATTCTCCCCATGTCGTCGTGTGGTTTCCTCTGGGAACTCCGGGTTCCCTCCACAGTCCAAAAACATGCCAAGATGAATTGCAGGTGGCCATTGTCATGACTGCGCTCGAGCACGAAGCGGGGAAGCAGCAGCCAGTGTCGAGGAATTGGGTGAACGAGGATTTTTTATAAGGGAGACGAAACAGGAACATCAAACAGATGTCAGATTTCAATGACCGGACTGGGGAAAACATACCTAACGCAGACTTAAATACGTAGGACTAATGACAACAACAACAAACAGCTGGTAAACATGGGGAATCCACACGGGGTAGATGAGGGGGCATGGTACACGGGAGGATCGGACGAGTGGGGCATGACAGCCATAGATTTACTTTTGTTAGTGAATGGTGTGTTGATCTCCCCCGACCCTGAATAGGACAAGTGGGTGCAGAAAATGGATGGATGGATCGATGGATTTTCCATCCTTCTTTTTCTGGAAACTCTTAATACTTTATGTCAAAATTACACATTTCACCTAGTGACAGTGTATGGCTTAGCTGGATTTGATGCTGTGGAAGGTTGCCAGTTCAAATCCCTTGGTTAGCATACTAACTTCACTTTCGAGCTCTTTTGTGTGGCCCTTAAACCTTAATTGCTCCTGGGACACTGTCTGACCTTGCTTTCTGAAAATGTGTGTCATTTTGGAGAAAAGCATTTGCTAAACACAAATTTATGGAATTTTTAAATTCGGGACATTAAATGGTGTTTGCCTGGAGTGAGAGAAAGGAGAAATGTCCCACAGACTATAAAACAGACCTCTGCACAATTTATTTATCAATCACGGATTCACAGGTGAAGATGCTTGGGAGTTTCTGTGCTGTCTGCCAGTATCCTGGATATTGTTGCACAGGTAGACGAAGGTGATGACATTGATGTTTATAGTTATGTCCTTTTCTCTCACCCCCAGATGGTAGCAAACCTCCCCTCAAGCCCATCCCACAGCGCCAGGTGAGTAAACACCCCACTCAAATAGCCCTCATCCAGGCCTGGGGTGAAGACCCTGTTGGTCTCCATTGCCTTTGGGGGACAGGACTGGGTACTGTTCAGTGAAGTAAATTTCTGTGCTCCCCCTCTCACCCTTGCAGATGGTTCAATCCCTGGGCGTGGCCATTTACCGGGCCCTGGACTGGGGATTGGACGAGAGCGAGGAGCGGGAGTTGAGCCCACAGCTAGAGCGACTCATAGAGCGCATGGTCGGGGGGGATGAGGGTGGCGAGTCAACGGGCAGTGGCGTGGCGGATGAGGGTTACAGCGGCCAAGATGATGAAGAGGAGGAGGAGGAGGAAGATGGGACACTGCGTGCGGTGTGCTCCTTTCGCCAGGTGATGGTGCTGTGTGCCTCTCGGCTGGCCAATCCCACCCAGGCACCGGAGCATTACCAGGCGGTGTGCCGTGCCCTCTTTGTGGAAACCCTGGAGCTGCAGACCTTCCTGACCAAGATCCGGGATGCCAAAGAGGTTGGAGTGGGTCCCGGCAGGGGGTGGGGGTGTTTTCACCAAAGTGTCACAAGCATCTGTTCAGATTTGCACAAATAAGTGATGTGCAGTGTCCCAGCTGGATTTTTTAGGATCATAAATAGCGATTATGAAATATGAGCAGAAGGGGGCGTATCGGTTAATGTCACACAGTGGCCTCAGACCAGGTCTCAAAAAGGAGCCCTTCATCATGCCCTCAGGAAGGCATCTGAAATGAAAAATATCTTCAGAAAATATACCAAAGTGGATAAATAGCTCAAAGGTGTGACTAAAAGGTACTTTTTGGATGGGAAATTGGGAGGGACTGACACAAAAATGCACGGTCATTTTCTGAAAAAGCCCCCCCAGCAGTATGGCCGGGTCCTGATCAGGGTGTTTACACAACAGCTGGCTAAGACATCAGGCATATAAAAGCTGAGGTGGGTGAATGGGGGGGGGGGGATGACAGGCTGATGGTTGAAACACTTTCACTCTCCGACGCCCTTCATTTGCACGAGCGCTCCGTTACAGATGCTCCTTCACGACGACCTCGCATCCCCTCACGTGACAGAGCAGCTTATCCAGCTTCTCCATAATGTAACCCTACTACAGTGCCCACCCCCCTACAGCTCTGGGTCTGTCATCGTGCCGGAGATGTGGGCTCAGCATTGAGTCAGGTCAAGCCAAATGGGCTTTATTGTAATACCGTGCATATACAGGCCAACTGTGGGCACAGAATAGTGTCCCCTCAGGGCCACAGTGTGACATACAGTACAGACAGCAGGTGACAGGGGGAAGGTTTTCACAGTACTTAGTGTGCACCGTTTCACAGTATGAAATGGGGGGGCTGGACACAAGGACTTATATACATACATAAAGGGTTATATATATATATATATATATATAACACAGGGTTTATATACCTACATAAGAGGTTACATATATAACACAGGGTTTATATACATAACACAGGGTTTATATACCTACATAAGAGGTTACATACATAACACAGGGTTTACATACATAAAACAGGGTTTATATACATAACACGGGGTTTACATACATAACACAGGGTATATATACATAGTGCAGTATGTATCATCTCAAGCTCGGTAAAAGATTTCTGTTTAGCTCTGGCCTTCCCATGTTGGACGGCGAGGGTGTGGGAGGGGCATTCTCATGCTTTCTCACGGGGGGGGGAGTCGGCAGGAAGGTGGGGATGGGGGCAGTGAGAAGCTTTCCCAGGCGGAATCTGGGCCAGGAGGGAGCGGCAGGCAATCTGAAACTCCGTCTTTATGGCTAGAGACACGTGAGTGGAGCCAGGGGGATCAAGGTCAGCCTGTCAGCCTATTGTACCCGTCTTTTCCTGGTGCTGCCTGCCCACACGGCTTGTTATCGGCTCAGGAATGACACATCGGGACATGTGCCCCCATGTGGAAAAATCATCACAACATTTTGATGACCTGACGGTCTCTTGGCCAAACTGCAGCCCACGCTCACCTCAAGTTTTGGGTGCTTTCCTAAAATTTCTGACTAATCACAGATCTCAGATTTTGAATACATGCCCAACTTAGCATTTTCGCAAGCGGTGACGGAATTTACCAGCTCGTTACAAGAGCTGTCAGTGTCCAGGCCGGAAATGTGGAGGACGTGTTGGTTTGGGCGGGAAGTCCAAAGTGATGGGGACTGGGTAGATCAGCGCGATATGACATGTTATGGGTACACGTGGGATCGCATTGCATTTTTACCCACAATACCTTGCTCTATAAAGGTCATCCTAAATGGTCTCTGTGTGGTACAGTATGTGTTTCTCAGGTTATAACAGGTACCACTTTTTCCAGTAATGAATAAAAGTTGAAACTTATGGTTTGGAAGCACAAAGTATGTGGATGTGGTGGTTGGAGAGATGAGGAAGATGAGAGACGAGGAAGCTCACCATCCAGGGAAGCTGGCCTCTGCATTGATTTGTTCCAAGTTTCTCTGTTAACAATGCTTCCTGTTAAAACCAGACTCCCTCATCAGCACATGTCCAGGAGTTGTTATTATCTTCTCCCATTTGATTGGTTCCATCCTTGTCTCCTTTGAAACATCAGCCTCTCTCCATTTATCTGTGAGCCAGTGTTTACATTTGTCTTGTGTTGGCCCTGATGCCAATCTAGTTCATAATAGTTCTTTTGGACATCCTAACAGAAAAGCATCTCAGATTCCCCTAGACTATTATCCTCTTGTTAGCCAGTGTTAAACTAGTGCGCAATGTCAGGTAGTATGTTATTTTTAGGTGTATTGCTATTTAAAATACTTATTAATATTTTGGGTAGGTGATCATCGTTGACTAGTCTTTACTGATTGTTAATAAGGGTTATCTTCATAATTAGTATTTCTCTACAGATGCTGAGGAAGATTCGATCTGAGGAGCCGGAGGAGGACCGGTCCACAGCAGAGCTTGATGCCCTCAAACACAGGGACTGGGTAGGAGACTGGGCATGCTGGGAAACTCTGATGGAGACACTGGTTGAGGCAGTGGTGCCTGTCCAGGCTGTCATGGAAGCGTGAGCAGACGTCTGTGTGTTTGGTGCCACAGGCTCGCCTCTGGGTGCAGCTTATGAAGGAGCTTCGGCAAGGCGTCAAGCTGAAGAAGGTCCAGGAGCAGCAATTTGATCCGCTGCCCACTGAGTTCCGCCTCACGCCGTTCGAGATGCTGATGCAGGACATCCGCGCCCGCAAGTACCAGCTGCGCAAGGTCATGGTGAGCTGCAGCTAGCAGGAGCTGAAGGGCCTCTCCCTGGACCTGAAGTATAGCTCTAAAGGAGCTAGAAGTTCTTATCTTTCTCCGGCTGTCATTCTGACCAAAAGGACCGTTTGTCTCTAGTGATGTTCATGTAGGCCAAATCTCCAAACTCCAGTTCGCGTAAACTCAATGGCCACATTATTAGGTACATCTAGCTACTACGAGGTAGGGCCTACTACTTCCTCCAGAAGGGCTATGATGAGTTTTGCTTTCAGAGAAGCCTTTCTGCCCACCACTGTTGCACTGAGCTGTTATTTTTGCATTTGCGGCCTTCCTGTTGGTTTTAAGGAGTCTGGCCATCCTCCTCAATCATTGACAAGGTGTTTTTTTCCCCCCAAATAACTCCCACTAGCTGGAGGCTTTCGTGTGTTGCATCATTCTCTGTAAACTCTAGACACTGCTGCATTGTTTCTGAGATGCTGGAACCACCACATTTGGCAACAACAATCACAGCACATTCACATTTGGTTAAATCATGGATCTTAGCCATTATGATATTTAGACAAACAGTAACTGGACCGTTTCTGCATGCTATATATATTCAGTTTCCACATGTTTTGCTGTTTAGGGGAGGTCGTTCGCATTAAGAGGCAGGTTTACGTAATAATCTGCCCACTGATTGGATGATATTAAATATTTCATAAAATTGGTGTTTTGGCTCTGTGAGCCATTGTGGCGTGGGGGGGGGAGCAGACCTAACCCACATCTCTGCATCCCTCTTCCAGGTGGATGGAGACATCCCTACACAGGTGAAGAGAGATGCCCATGATCTCATCCTCGACTTCATCAGGTCTCGACCCCCCCTGAAGCCGGTAGGCATGGACCCTCACACACACACACACACGCTCACTTAAGCAGCTGTATTTTAAAATATAATTACTGATGAGGCCTGTGCCAGAAGGGGGTGGTCTTCAGTGTGTCCGCGTGACCCCCACCCCCCCACTTCTGTAGGTATCAGAGCGGAGTCTGCCCCCTCCTCCACTGGAGCAGCAGTCCTTGCATGAACAGATCCTTGCTGAGATCAAACAGGAGCGCAAACTCAAGCCCGTGGACCTCCCCAGTTCCAAAAGGCGTACGTCCGATCAGTATCATGGTGAAGACCGCACAGTGTTCTGTGTGTCTGTGTGTGGGTTATATACACTCACCTAAAGGATTATTAGGAACACCTGTTCAATTTCTCATTAATGCAATTATCTAATCAACCAATCACATGGCAGTTGCTTCAATGCATTTAGGGGTGTGGTCCTGGTCAAGACAATCTCCTGAACTCCAAACTGAATGTCAGAATGGGAAAGAGCGGTGATTTAAGCAATTTTGATCCTCTGATGGCTACTTCCAGCAGGATAATGCACCATGTCACAAAGCTCGAATCATTTCAAATTGGTTTCTTGAACATGACAATGAGTTCACTGTACTACAATGGCCCCCACAGTCACCAGATCTCAACCCAATAGAGCATCTTTGGGATGTGGTGGAACGGGAGCTTCGTGCCCTGGATGTGCATCCCACAAATCTCCATCAACTGCAAGATGCTGTCCTTTCAATATGGGCCAACATTTCTAAAGAATGCTTTCAGCACCTTGTTGAATCAATGCCACGTAGAATTAAGGCAGTTCTGAAGGCGAAAGGGGGTCAAACACCGTATTAGTATGGTGTTCCTAATAATCCTTTAGGTGAGTGTATATATAACATTGTGGGGACCATTTTTTCATTCATTTTTTTTGGTCTACACAAGAGGAAACTTTATAAAAAACTTTCACTGAAATCAACAATAAACAAAATCGCCTGAATTCTTGTATTTTATTTGGTTATGTATGGTTAAGGTTAGGGCTGGGTAGGAGTTAAAGTTGTCATTGAGGGGAGTAGGGTTTTGGCAATAGAATTGAATGGACGGTCACCAATACAAATGTGTGTGTGTGTGTGTGTGTGTGTATTAGGTTTTTATTACATTGTGGGGACCATTTTGTGCAGTACTTGTGCCTTCCTGCCCTGAGTGCACTGCTCCCTGCACCGTCACACGCTTGCACTGCTCCCTGCACCGTCACACGCTTGCACTGCTCCCTGCACCGTCACACGCTTGCACTGCTCCCTGCACCGTCACACGCTGGTCCCACCACTGTCTTCTGATCTGATCTGTTCCGACCCGCAGCATTCGGCTCTCTGCCCTGCCTGCTCCACCCCTGCCCGCATGACGTCAAGTCCACCTCCTGCATTGACCTGTCCGTGTCAGAGGTGGGGGGGCGCCCCCTTCCCCGGCCCCGCGTGCTGCTGAAGGCCCCCACCCTGGCCGAGATGGAGGAGATGAACCTTTTCGAGGTGAGAAAGTCGTTTGGGGGACGAGATGTAAAGATGCCTTCAGACCAAAATGTCGACAGATCTGAACTGTTTTTACAAAGTGCCCCTCCCAACATAATTGCCCCACTTAAACACACACACATTTTTGGAATACTGGGCGTGTCAAATCTTGAGACCACAAGAAAAGGTATGATACTGCAGTTTAATTAATGCAATGTGACAGTTTGATGAGGAGATTGAAACCTCAAAAAACTCGTTAAATTCCATACACAAAAATTAAATATCTCTTGTAGAAGATTATGAAAGCTTTCTATTGAGGTGCATGTTGTGTGTGTACTGTAGTCTGTACTGTACTCTATCTTACACATTAATAAAGATTAAGGTAGATTCCTCAAACGGCACCATGCGATGTGCAATACATGTGTGAAGTTGTGTTTTTGTGCTGGTGAAATTCACGCCTGGCCTTTCACAGCAAGCCAGTGAGATGTAAATGTGTAAAAGCCTTCAGCTGTGTTATTCTGTTTTAAAACTGTAAATAATATATTCACTGCAGGCCAGTGATGTCCAGACAATAGTGAAAAAAACGGTTCTCGTGGCGTTGATGATGTGATGGTAACTGTGGGCACGTTGTCATGGAAACGGTTCTATCATTTCTGGACACAGGTGTCGTATTCCTTGGCCCTCCTCATCCTCACCCATAGCCCTCCCCCATTCCCGCAGGAGGAAGAGTCCCCGGGCAGCGGGGAGCTCCGCCGCGCCGAGAGTTCGCCCACACCCCTGAAGCGTGACCGCTCCTTCTCGGAACATGACCTGGCTGGCCTCCGGGGGGAGCTGCTGCCCTCGCTGTCTGACTCCGCCCACTTGGGCGGGGCTGCGCTGCGCAGAGGGGAGCGGCCGAGGGCGTGCACCCTGGGGGGGGGAGGCGCACCCCCACTGCATCGTGGTCAGTTAACATTAAGCACAAGGGTGTAGGCTGTATTCTTCCCTAATAATAGATTCCTGGTGGTCTCATGGTCCGGTTATGTTTGATATATGATTATAGAGCAGGGCTCTTCAAATCTGGAACTCGATTCCAAATCCAGGCCGTGTTTTCTCTTCTCCCAGGTAGTTAGTTTAATAATTACTGATTCTGATTGGTCAGAGGCTTCACAGCCGGCTCACAGGTAAAGGAAGGCTGGAAAACCAGCAGGGCTCGGACCTCAAGGACCGTGATTTGAATAACCCTGCTATAGAGTGTGCTGAGGAGGGATAGCAGGGAGGCTGTGATTCAGAGTGAGTCTTTTTGTGTATCTGTGGGGAATCCAATAGAGTAGGAGAATGGACCAAACCTGGGTGTCTGTTGTCTTACGTAGTCTGGGAGTTGACTGAATGGTGGGGTGGGTGTAGTTTTTCCCTCTGTGGTGGGGTCTGGTTGGCTGCCCCGGGCTCTGTGGTGCCCGGTGGTGCCGCTGCTCTGGGCCCCCGGACTGGATGGGCCTCGGCTCTCCCGCCCTGGGTGGATTTCGGGGAACGGGGGTGCTTATGGGGGTCAGCGGGGGGGCTGGCTCCAGAGGGGGGTACTTTGCCCCCCCCGATCCTTTCCTCCCCATCCCTAAATGCTTCCCTCCTCCCGCTCCGTCACCCCAACACACATATAGGGCTTTGAGGTGCAGGTGCGTCGCTGGGATGCAGGGGATTCCTCCTCTGTCCTCCCGTGGCCACCTGTGTCTCAATCACACATCACAACTTAGACACTCTCATTACTTACTCTCTCATGACACATACATTTAGGGCCTTGGGGGTGGGCACAAGGAATGGCGTCCAGAGGGCGGTCTGTTCATTCAGCCTTACCTCTGGTGCCAGTGCCCACTTCTCAAAAAACTAAAAATGTCAAAAGTCTTGTGTTTTCTTACTTGTGGTTAAGATTAGGGCTGGGTAGGGTTACGGTTGTCATAGTTTGGTTTAGGGGTTTGAGCATAGAAATAAATGGAGAGTCCCCACAATGACAGGAATATATGAACTTAGTATGTCAGAGTCTGCCTGCATCTTAGCTCATCTAATCAATCCACTCTCCTCAACTGAATAAACATTTGCTTTAGTTAGAAATATAAAGAGCTATCATGTACTATTTATGTAATATTTTAGTTTTTCAAGGATGGTACCACAGAATATTGCTTTGGTTTTAGGACTGAAACTGTATATGCAATTAAATGTTACTCCATGAATTTACATTTTTTAGGGCCGCTGTGGTATTTCACGATTTCTTATCTGACTGAAAGGCAGGGCTGAGTACCAGTGACCCCAGCTGAAAAAGGACGCTCTGAAAGCAGCTGAAATGGTACAGCTGCTGTCAATGTGTAACCCGAGAATCCCCCAGTTAGTCTGTCAGCTAGAGAGTCAAAATGTCTTTTTTTCCACCAGCTTTTCTGTCACATTTTCACTGCGCAAGCTCATGAATTATGGAGGAGGCCTCCAGCCGTGGAATTAAATTCAAGCCCACTGCTAAAAATATAACAGTCGACTAGCACCTGAACACATTTGAGTTTCTTATGCATCTGCAGTTTATCTCTTTCAGTTATAAGGGCAGACATTTTATGGACAGCAGAAACAAATAAAAGTATGAAGAGCGAGCTGAAGGTCATTCAGATACTGAACAGACTGCAGCGTTGATTCTAAGTAACTTGAGTACCTGTGGATTGTGGGAAAGCTCTGTAAACAGCACAGTGTCTTTGTGCGCTCCGGAACAGCCCCGAAATCACTGCAAGGGGTCCATTTCGTGTTTCTCATAGTGGCTTCACCTTGGGATGTACTCCAGCCTTTTCACTTAAAATGAATTATTAAAACGGCGAGTTTATTTCTGGCAGGAGAAACCTAATTCGGCCTTGATCTTTCTCAGCCTCGTGAGACACGTGGTGGTGGAGGTGTAGAGGAGCTTTGGAGGCCCTGTGGCCTAGAGGTGGAGGAGAAAGGTGTAGCTCCATCCCGCCGGACTACAACATCAGTCTTAACGTATTCCTCACGTGCGGTTTACCGATAGCCTCACCAGGTGAGACGTAGGATGATCAGCAATCGTCTGCTGACGCCCATCTCCTCTTTCCGCAGCTTCATATCCCATGCAAGGCTGGCTGACCCCCTCCGCTGGGGGCTATTCTCCCGCTCGTAACTCCTTGAGCTCCGTGGATGAAAGGATGGAAGCAGCCGAGAGCTCGTCGCCCACACAGGAGGGCCAGAAGCACCAGTGGATGGTGAGTCTGACAGCGGCTGCTTCTACACCCCGGCACTTTGGTGCTGTAGCTGCGATGGGGTTTGGTGGGGTTGGTGAACTTTGGGACCTTTCTCTCTGCATCTCTTTGAAGGAGGAGTTCAGCCACCCAGTGGAGAGTCTGGCCTTGACGGTGGATGAAGTCATCAATGTGCGCCGGGTGCTGGTGAAGGCAGAAATGGAGAAGTTCCTACCAAATAAAGATCTGTACAACAGCCTGCGTAAAGGCAAGGTACTGTCAGTCACCTCACCTCCTGTTAAATCTCTTAAAGCTTTGTGATGTGAAATACTGTTTGCCGAAACATCAGTTTCCTAAGGCTGATTATTATCTAGTGTGAGAACACGGTGAGCCTCGGAGCCTTTCCCAGGATGTAAAGCACAAACGGAATGCACTCTGGGTGGGACGGCAGTCATCCCATTCACACCGTAGACTGGTCAGGAATAAAACTCACAACACTACCAGTGAAAGGACACAGTGTCACCCACTGGCACCCCATGAATATGCTAAAGAAACAATCAGTCAGACCAGTATAACACACAGAATATATTGCAAGTGTAATGAACAGACCTTTTGTGCATAAAAGTAAAATAAAAAAAGAAATCCATTGTTTTTGGTCACTTTGTCCCTCAGGGGCTGGCAGGCTTTCAGGAATCACAACATAAATAAATGGGCCGTTCATGGTTCTCTTCAATTATTAATTGTTTTTTAATTTCCTGTCTTGCAATGACCACATGTCCTTTTCAGGGTGACCAGAAGCAGTCTCCCTTTCTCTCTGTCTCTGGCCAACAGCCCTCTCTCTCTCTCTCTCTCAGTTCATTCACTGCCAAGTCAAAGCTGATTTCAAGGCCTGAAATAAGTGCATGCTGACCACTGATATGGGACAGTGTTTCCTCTGCTAAATTGTTTCCTTGTCATCTACACTTTTCTTCTGGAGCACCAAATTTTTAGTCTTTAATTCCCATTTTGACAGAACCCATGCGACATTTCCAGGCTCTGCGGCTGACAGCAGAATTAGATCATCTGTTTATAGGAGGAATTTAATGTCTTTGTATTTAGACAGATCTAAGATGGCTTCTCGCCCATTTATTGACGTTTGATTCAGACTGTATCTCTCCACGCAGGTATAAGTGAGGATGAAGTGGATTGTTCTGGATTGTGTTTTTACTTCATGAACATATTCAGGGAGAAGCACAACAAAGAGAAAACACATATGAAAGCAAAACAAGCGTCTGGTTGTGGAAAAAACTACAACGGGGTCAGGTGCTAGACAAGGGGGTGCAGGCAATATTACAGGAGCAAAACAACCAATCAAATTGCCTCTAATATGGTAATTGAGAGTGATTGGGTGACTGTTGCCATCAACTGACTTTACCCCACCCCTGGGATGTCCATAGCCCCCACCATCCCATATTACACAGTCAATATTGTTGCATTTACAGTGTTAAACAGCCACCTTTCCTGGGTCCCTGCCATACTCTCAGAACAGTAAATACTCAAGTACTGAGAGATTGTATCAGCGTATCAGTTATATCACAACTGACCAGAATTGTTGGTCAGGCAAATATATATTTGTCCAAATATATATTTAGGATCCTTATTCATTGATAAGGTCTGACACTGAGCCGGTATCAGTGTTTTGATCCCAGATCAAAATATTTCCCGGGGCCTGGAACTGACATATTTCATTGCTGAGATCTCTGTCATAAATTATATCAAGACTTATCAGAAGAGACATACAGGCCAGTTTAGAAAATGTCTTTCCCACTCTGAGGCATATTTCTGTTAATGATGACTGAGTATATAAAGCTGGTTAGCTCTGATTTATACCAAAACATTATACATCCAGAATCACTTACATTCACATTTCATCAGTTGGGAATGAGATTAGAATTTCTTTGTGTCCCCAAGGACAGTGGGTAGATATATCTGTGGCAGAATTATTATTTCTTTATAGTTTCTAGAACTCTAGGGCTTTGCTCTTAATTCAAAGCAATGAGGAATTTAGACCTTAAATGTTCTGCCTTGACATTCTTTGTTCTAGCATGTCTAAAGTTCAGCCCCGAACCCCCCTCTGCCCCCGAACACACACAGTACTCCCCCGATTATGACTGGGACACATCCCAACTGTCCATAGTCAAATCTATACCCTTGCTCCTTTGTAGGATATCAACACACAGCAGTGTCTAGAGGTTACAGCCAATAGTGTGATGAACGGAAAAGATCCTGTCAATGGCATATCTGTGATCAAATATACCTTGTTGATGGGAGAGGACAGAGGAGAAGGGGCAGACTAGTTACTAGACTAGTTACTAGCAGACTAGTAGAGTGCAAAACTAGTACTTTCTGGATGAAGAAGTGGATCCTACCTGGGAGTAGCTAGGTGTACCCAATAAACTGGCCTGTAGTTGGTACTTTGCAACTATAATAATTTTAGATATTTAATGCAATAATTACCATGGAGTCTAAGCTGAACAAGTCTCATTTATTAGCATTGCATAATTGCAGCTGAACTATGAGTAACTTGTTCAGTGAGTATATTTCTGGGCTTGAAAACTCCTCCAGCAGTTTGCGTTGGATTGGCTGGCCCCTTTGGATGGGGGTGCTGGGCAGGGTCAGGCCTGTGAAGACTTTAAGGTTTTGTTGGCCTAATGCTGGACATGGTTGTGTGGCCACTGATGGGCCGTGGTGCAGGTCCAGCGGGATGCTCCCCTGAGGATCTCCAAAGCTGTGCCTGAGCTTTGAGTTATACCCTGAGCATGATCATAGGTTACATGTGGCCTGTAGTGATGAGTCTAGTGGACAACAGACCCGTGGAAATCTTGCATTTAATAGTAATGATATTTATACTTTATTGATCCCTCAGGAGGGAATTCTCCTTTTGTCTGACCCCTCATTCTCTCCATGACACAGGGACACATATGTGGGCGATGGTGGCTCTGCAGTCACCTGTGGTGGCAGCCATGGAGCTGGGGGTTAAGGGCCTTGTTCAAGAACCCACAGATGTGACTGTTCTGCCGAGACTCGAACCAGCAACCTTCCGATCACAGGCACAGGGGCTTAACCCACTGAGCTTTTAAATAGTCCTTAAAATAGTCATATTGTGGTAGCTTCTCTTTGGCAAGATAGTAAAGATGGTAACTTCTGGAAACTGCTTTTGGCTTTTTGCTGTTTTACTGTTGCTCTCCTGTAAGACCCCCTTTCCCTGTGGTTTCCTGGGGTCGTCGATTTCACCGAGAATCGTACCCTCACTGCAGAGCTCAGGTTAAACCTGGGTGACTGCCTGCGCCTCTTTGTCTGTTTGTCTGTGACTTGAGAAGAGCTTTATTCCCCCCTCGAATCTGTCAGAAAGGCTCTTTCTGTGTCTCTTTGTCCACCTTTGGCTCAGTAGAGCACTGAGAGGTTTTGATCACCATCTTCAGTGGCCACACGGGGGGGGGGGGGGGTATCCTGCCAGCGATTGGCTTTCTCCTGTAGGACGGCCGCTTTCTGAAGTGTCCTCTCTCTACATGCGGTCACAGTTTCTGCGACCTCCTGCATCTCTGCTCCTTCATCACTTTCTTGTCCTGATTTGCTACTGCTCACCCCAGCCCAAACACCACAAGGAAAAATCCCATCTTTGCTATGGTAGAAGCCCAGGGCTCTGTTTTTTTTCATATATACCATCCACTAATAATATTATAATTCGATGATAATAATGATAATAACTAATAATTATTACTATTGTTGTTATTATTACTTTATTCATATTTATATCAATTTATATTTATTTATTTCCATAATGTTTTGTTTCTCTGGATATTTTATTTAGGTACTTTTTGATTTGTCTTGCCCTCTGTCTGTTTTGCATTATATTTGTTTGTCTGTACTTTATGTACTCCGCTTCTGTATGCACAGAAATTTCCCTCTGGGATCAATAAATTCTGTCTTATCTTATTGTGTCTTACATCTTGCACGAACCTGCAGCTGCTCCTTTTCCGTGCCGAGCCCCTTCCTGTCGAAGCTCTTTCTGCGTTTTAAAACCGTTTCAAATCGATTTGCTTGAGTGGACTAACTGGGAGCCGAATGGGTTAATCTGCTTCATGCGAGGAGTTGGCTACCCAGAAGCATTAGTAATAGTGAGAGTAGTTGATTCCTTATGACTATAAGCTTCCCTCAACAGATTCTGCAGTTTTTAACAATCATGTTTGCTCACCATTCTGTGCCGTGCGTCTTGCCAGTTTAGGGAAGTGAGTGTGCCGCAGCCTTGCACCACTGTCCCCTGTGAGAGAGCACTTTCTGGCCACAGCACATGGGTCCTGCCATGATTAAAGTTTACTGGATAACCTCCTTCTTTATTTTTAATGGCTTTCTCCATCCCCCTTTTCACTTCCTTTCTCTTCCCTTTTTCTGTTTATTTGTATTGGTTTTTCATGGATGGTTTGTGGTATCCTTTGCTGTAATCTCATCTCCCAAATACGTAAAACCATGAACTATCCCTTACTATAAAAACATGATTCAACGTCAGAGAATATTAAAAGCTCTCTCCGCTCTCTTCCCCCTCCCTTTCCTTACCGCCCTCTCTGTCTCTCTGCTGTCTGCTTTCCTATCTGCGTATGCTTTACATTTGCATACAAACCCGCAAACGTGTGCGTGTGTCTGTGCGTGTCACAGGTCTGCTGCTGCTGTAAAGTGAAGTTCCCTCTCTTCTCCTGGCCGTCCACCTGTCTCCTGTGTAAGAGGTGAGCTGTGGAAACACTGTGATGTGCACAGACACGCTGCGGTGAATCAGAGGGTGTCTGCAAGACCTGTTTGCATATGTAGGCTAGAACAGGCACGTGTGGGAGATTGAACCTTTACATCACTGGGTCTTTTACTCAGGAGTATTGCAGCAAAGGCCTGACTGGGACTTGATCCTACAACCTTAAGGTTAAAACCCATGACCCCTAATCATCTGTCATCCAATACTAATGTAGTCCCCTGGTATGTAATGCTGATACATTAGTTCGTGTTACAGGCAGACAGCAATTACGTGATTCAGATAATTTTTCAGAAAGTGTCGGACTTTCTGCTCCAGTTTTTTATTCGGGCAAAGTAGGTCAGCTAAATGATCAGGACCCGGGCTGCTCAGGTTTAATCTCCACTCTCTTTTCAGGTCGGTCTGTGGGTCCTGCAGTGCCAAGGTACTGTCCTTCCTTCTTCCTGCTTGTGGATCAGCTTTTGTTTGTATGTTAAACTTACTATTATAATGTACTATTATGCAACATCTTTGAAACTTTTGAAATCATGTTTTATTTCATATGGATATGAAACAAAATGCCAGTGTTAGAGAATGAACGTTTTGGCTACGCGCGCTGGTGACCATATGTTGGTGCATGTCTGTGTCTCTCGGCCATGTTGGTTTGTGGTTTTTGGCTCATGTGGGTTCCCAGTCCTTTCAGGGGTCTTGCAGATTCTCCCCGTCCTCCTGTGGTCTTTGCCCTAACCATCCCTGCCTCTTTCTGCAGATGAAGATCCCTTCAAAGAAAATGGCGCACATCCCAGTCTACACAGTGGGTTTCGAGAGCAGCCTGAGCGGCCACTCCCGAAAGAGCGAGGTCTTCAAGTGAGTCCCGTCCTCCATACAAATCATTTGCTCAAAGTCCCCACATAGGAAGGTCTGAAAAGACTGTGGGTGACATGAACTGACAGGACGGAGCAAGTTTCTGCCCGAAAGTGTCCCAGACGACCAGTGTTTACCAGTCTCCTAATTTTAACCTGATATTTTTGCGTCTTTTATGAGTCAATGCAAACAGTTACTACCCAACTTACATTTGCATAACAGTTTTACTCGTCACTATTTTAATGATCATCCTTATAGTTACTCACCGTAGTAATTATCGTTATTATTGTTATTCACCGTAGTAATGGCATTGTTACAGACGTAGCATAGCGATGCTGGCATGTCCATTTAATTCTTGCTCTGTAGTCCAGCAACATGCCTGACTGTTTTTCTCCAAGTCACACTGTGTTGGTCGGTTGGCATTTAGAACACAGAGAACCGTAATTTCATCCGTCCATCTTTTATTCCAAATTATCCGATATGGAGTCATGGTGATCCTGGAGCCTGTCCGAGCATAGACAGGCCACAGTGGACGGGATGCCAGTCCATCACACAAAATCACACGCTATGTGCAATTTAGGAACAGTGATGCAGCTAAATTTGTGTCTTTGCTCTATGGGGAAAAATGTTTAGCAAGCCTGCGAGGCGCGGGGAGAACATGCAAGCTCTGCATTCTAGGAGCTGCGGGCAGGAATCAACCCCCCACGCCTGAAAGCGCAAGGCCACGGCGCTACCCACTAAGCGACTGTGTGATTAAAAATGGCAGAGTTTTGAGGTTTGAGCAGGGGTAGGCAATCTTATCCAGAAAGGGCCGCTGTGTGTGCGCGGGTTTTTGCTGCAACTCCATAATTAGATTACTAATTAGAGATCCGTTTGGTTGAAGAGACCTCACACCTGGGTTTGAACAGCTGATCTAAAGGTTATCCCAAAAACCTGCATACACACCGGCCCTTTGCGGATAAGATTGCCCCCCCCCGGGTTAGAGGGTTTGTCTACTGTCCCTACATGTTGTACAGCCCCTGATAAGTGCACACCATTGCGTTTTGCATTCCTGAGGATTTCCATAGATAAATATGCTGTTTATGAGGTTGCCAGGTGACATATTCAGTAAAGGAGCCCATCATGCGTTAGAACATCGTAAATGGTTCGTTCGCCCTGAGCTTTATAACAGGCTGAGGCTGC